TCCATTTTATTGCAGCTGAATTGCTGATAAACTATTTATTTTTAGTTTTACTAGCTTGCCCAGCACTACCCGAGCATGATGTTAGTGGGGGTTCTGGGATACTATTTAATCTATTAAACGTTTTTTAAACAATCTATTTTCAGCCTAGTGCTGAATCTTTGTCACGCTTCCAGTGCGGTAATCCCAAAATGGACTACGATCAAACCAGCACCAGATCAGCATGAATGCACTCCATATATCGCACTTCATATCCAGCCAGCTCTCTGTGCTCTGAGCCGACCCCCTGCCGGCCTTGTAATCAGCCTTGTATTTCAATATTGCGTGTGTTGTTTTATTGTCTTCATATTTTACGTTGCCATGTCATGTCGGGGTGTTGCCCTCCTGTGCAGATGTGCTCTGGCTCCGTGTGCCAAGGTATGTGCCCACACATGGGAGCTTTATAGTGATGCCAGCTGCTGCAGCGGCCATGGCACGCTCAGATTAGGAGACGGGTGTCTGACCCATCTGCCTCGATTCTGTGCTGGTGCCAAAAATGAGGAGTTTCCCTTAACCTTAAGCACATTCCATGTGAGAGATGAAAGAACGACTGGGATGTGATAGATAGAGGGATTAAAAGATGGGACGGTGAGGATGAGAGCGAGCCAGGAAAGAGAATTGGATCATTCTGTGCTCCTTTGCCATTCATTTTATAGACAGAGTACGCAGAGAGCACAGACATTAAGGCCTGTGTGTCTGTGGGATGAAGGATGGCTAAAGTGTGTGAGAATGTTCCATTTGTTGAAGTGTGAACACACTTTAGCATCCATTGTGCTAAACAAAAGCATATTTCCACAGCGGTTTCTCTCTGGTAATGGAGATTTCACAGGGTGGAAGGTGTGCAATCTACCCAGATGGACTGGGACTTCTGTCCCAGATGGACTTCTGTGTGTTTCTTGACATGTGAGATGCTCCATTTACATCTGGTATTAACATCCGTTTTGGAGGTGATTTTAAAACAATGATGCCAAATACAAGTGTTAAGATTTACATATACGGTAATATAAACCTAAAAGGTGTATATATGGGAGAAACTGGTGATGTTTTCCTTCTTTTTGTGATCTGACAAACCGGGGCCTCAGAAACCTCTTTGCAAACAAGGACGTTTGGAGAACCCAGCCTGCTTCTGGAATGTCTAACCTTCTCCAAAGCATTGCATTCCAAAATTTCATTAGCGGTTTGGAGAGAATAAATAGAGAAAAAGTCCAAGTGAGGGAGGGAAACACAAAAGAAGAGAATGTTAATTCCCATGTAATGTTCCCAAATGAGAGGAGGAAAAAGAAACATACTATTTCATTGACACATGTGAGTATGGTAGCAGTTGATTTCTTGTTTATTCACGTAAGTGGACTTCTTTTTCCAGTTCAGCTGGTGCACATCTTCTACACGACTAACATACAGAACATGACATTATCACTCTAACACCTTCATTTCTTTGTTTCTCTTTTTTCATTCAACTCTCCAGCATTGACTCAATTTTCTTCATTGTTGTTTATGGAAAGTTCTGAGGTAGAACATAGGGATGGATGGAAAGAGGATGGCAAAATAAATAATAGCTGGCTGCAAACACATGTGCACCACAGCTGGAAGTGATTTCGTCTTTTTGACAGAGGCATTATAGGAAAAATCCAGATGGGCACAGGTGCAGTTGGTGGGCAGTGTGAGCCAAAATCAGCTCAGAGTATCCAAACAGAGAAGGAAAACACAGCAGTCGAGCACAGCTGACCACTTCAAACCAACATCCTGTGGATGACACTTGCTCTTATTGGTCATTAATTAGAGGTTGTTTTCTCTCTCTTTTTGCCATTTCTTTCCCTGCACTTTGTTTCTTACTCTTGACTGTCCTCTACATGCCACAGAGATTTTGTGGATTAGCTTGGGATAACTCAAAACATAATACATGGCATGCATTTTTTTTTTTTTTTTTTTTTTTTTTTTTTTTTGGGGGGGGGTTCCTTTTTTTTT